ACAGAGCAGCACAGGTCATGTTTACATTGAGAGCTCTCTCTAATACCTGGCTGGCTGTGGATCCTGTGCTGATGAGTACCAGAGAAATGCCTATAAATACATACATAGATATATATATAAAATATGTAGGGATGTGTAGACACACAGTGGACAGGAAGCCTTTCTGTGCCAGAACCTGTGCTCTGCCATTCCAGGGTAAATGCCCCCAGCCCTGGGAGGAGTTGGTCACTCCAGAAATGGCACTTCTGCCCTTTGGAGGCTTTTACTGTGTGGTTGTGAATTGAAATTCAATGTCATTGTTATTTTAACTGCTTACACATACTTACTGGAATTTTTCCTGTTCTCAATTAGGATTTTGCCTGTTCTGATTAAGGATTTGTGCTCTAGGATGACCTTGCTGGACCAGGGAGGCTGGACCAGATGACCCCACTCTGGTCCCTCCAATCTCAGCCATCTTAATTTTGTGATTTTAGACTCTTCTCTTTTCATTTATAAATAGTGTCACTTGCCTCTTTGTTTAAGTTGCCTGAAGCACCAAATTTTTTCACTAGGTACAGTTTAATATCAAAAATCTGAGAATGAATACGCTATTAATGGATCTGTCTGGGAACACACCAAATATTGAAGTTCTTCACCATTAGCAGTGCTGCTAATTCTGACTGTCCTCATGCATGTTTCTGTTTCCTGTTCCATTTTAAGTCACTTGAGAATTGCTGAAGAGGCAGAAAAAGCACCTTAAGTGCATACACATACCTGCATCAATTTTGACATTGTACTGTGTGGTGGAGGCTTCTTTTAGGTTCATCATGAAGAGTGAACCAATATCCTGCTTCTGCAGCCAAGTAACTCCTTATCAGGGCTTATATTCCATGAGTGCAGGCTGTTTATGTCCCATGTATTGTTATTTTTTACCCTGTTGACTTCTGTATTGTAAATGTCCATCTTCAGCAGACCCCAGCAATACTGATGGTGTGGAAGGGGATCCAGAGTCTGGTGCTGCCCCTTTGTGCAGAGCTGCTTTGGGAACGTGGCCTTGCTCATGGAGCTGATTGGTGTGACCACAGTTAGTGTTCTCCATGTTCCCTGTGCATGTTTGGGAATTGGCCTTGGCTCAGGCTCTGCCATGACCACACAACAGACCTGGGGACTGTCATTGGTGTCAATAATTAATAGTCAAAAATATCACACCTCATGGGTGTTCCATGGGTAGGTGTTAGCACCATGCATGGCATGCCAGCCATATAAAATGGGGTGGATACACTGAAAATCATGTGTTGATTCCTGTAAGTAGTTGATAATTTCTGTCTATTACTGGTGCTCCATTTTTCCACTAGTTGATGTTCCAAGTTAATATCAAACTATGAAAATGGAGCTAATTTCTCAGAGACAAGAAAAGGCATCTCAAGTTTAGGTCTGGGTGATGGAAAGTTCATTTTCTGTTTCTGAAATCTGTACAGGTATATCCATACAAAGCTTTGCTGTACTGTTCTATTTTAATGATGGATGCTGAACACTTTTTATAGCAGTAATTCTTCAATGGGACACCTGGTAGTTAAATCCTTGGCTATCTGTCATTAGTGCCTAATTTCCTGCCTGGAAGATTTGTAGCTTTGGTTTAAAGAGGGGAAGAGGTGCCTGAGCCTGTGGAAGGTGCCCATGCCTGGAGGAGAGCAGCACTGTGCACCCAGCTCAGGGTGCCCATGTGAGTAAAGCATTGGAACATCAGCTGGGATGCAATTTGTGTATAAACTGCTGTTTATGAAGTGTTGTCACTTTTTAAAGAATTTTTGACACATTCGTCTTTGAAGTGTGAATACCTTTGTGAAATGAAAGGCTTTTTTTCAGGTTTGGTTGCTGTTACCACGTTTAATTTCAGAGGTTGACTGACGTGAACTACCTAAAACCCTGTGCTGCCTCTTTTAACTGTGTGAGATGTGAGAGGTGTCTTCTCCTTGAGAGAAGGGGGGAAAATCACCTGGTTTGTGTGTGCTTGAAGGTCAGGAGGCAAATTTTAATTTCATGAAAGTGGTGATTATGATAGTAGGATTTTTAAAATTTAAAGTCAGCTTGAGCATTGATGGAAGAACTGTTTTGGTGTGTTGGAAGCTCTATGGAATGCACTTATTGCTACTTTTGAAGTCCATATTGAAGCTCTGAAAGGTGATCCAGCACTGGGGAGAAAGCCCCCTGCTTGTGTTCATAAATGTTTCATGAATGAATGGCAGTGTTTGGGGCTGTTTCCTGTCCTTCTTCAAGAAGGAGGACTGTAGTGTTTCGTTAAAAATTTAAATCTAACATTTAAGAGATGTGAATCTACCACGGGAGTTCCAGCAGTAAATTGACCTAAATCTGACACTGGAGTTCAAATTCTGAAGTCAGCTAAAAGGTAGCACTGAACATAGAAATGAAGACAAAAAAACCCTCTATTAAATATTTCAGTTCTCACCTATAAATAGGTAGCTGTTATGAATTCTTCATTGTATCCCTCTGGAGATGGGAATTAATCCAGTCTCCAGCTGCCTGTGACTGAAGGTCATGAGTCAGAATGAATTAGAGGAAAATTTGTAGCAGGGTTTTTGCAGACTCTGGTTCCTGAGTTCAGGTTTCAGGCTCCAGCTTGGAAGGTTTGTTGGGCTTTAACTGTTCTCTGAAAAATGTCATTTGAAAATGAACAAGGCTTAAATGAGGGGCAGCATCCCCTTGCACTTCCAAGCTTCCCACTATGACCATGCTCAGGCACTGAAGTGCTGCATGGAGGAGCTGTGAGGGGAATGGCTTAACCCTGGATAATGATAGCAGACAGTCAAAGGGACCCTTCCTGCTGCTCTGAACTGCACTTGTGCAGAGCAAAGGGAACCTGCAGGGCTCGGGTTTATTCACCATAACTCCTTACCTGAGCTTTAGAATCCTATCCCATTAATTGAGGGCTTTAACTGCCTTCAACAGAACCAGTCAGATTCAACAAAAAAAAAAAAAAAAAAAATTGTAGCTGAACTAACTCCTGTTGGGTTTCTTTTGGCTATAACTGGAAATGCTACAAGATATTAAAGAGGTAGTCAGCTGGGACTTAGGTTTTAAAGAACTTGCCAGATGGCTGCTCTATGTACTCTAAATTGTTAAGACTGAAATGTAAAATGCTACATTTTCTAACAGCTTACTGCCTTTTTATTTTCTTCCCCCTTAATTTAGGCTGTGCAGATTCCTCACTTGCACTTTGTGTTTTCCCATACCAGTACAATGGGGTTGTTAGGAATTTCAGCATTACAGAGGACTACAGTGTTGGGGGGAATAGGAAATGTGAAGGAACAAAAGCTCATGTTGCTTTCTCATTGCATTAGATAAGCATGGCTTGAAAACTGAATGGGATGCTTAAGTAACTTCCTTTATGAAAATTTATAAAAATGCATTTTTTTAGTCTCTTTTTCTGTTGAGAGTGCGATTTTTGTTTATTTCAAAAGATGCCAGGAGGGGAGCGAGAAGAATTTGGGAGTTCTTAATTATGAGCTGATCTGTGGCATTGTCCAGCAGAAAGTCCCTTGCAGGTTTTGAATTCATACCAGTGTAGGTGGAAGTGAAGGAAATGCAGTTACAAATCTGTAATTTTCAGTTGCTGTGTGTTGGAATCTTCTGAAGATGTTCAGTCAAAACAGTTCTTGCTGGTGAGGCTTGAGTTTCCTGAGGAGCTGTTTCCATCTGTTGGTAAAACAGACAAGTTAAACTGAGATTGAGTACAGATTTCTCCTCTCCACATTTTTTTGAAGTGAAACCCCAGTAGCTGATGTTCTAAACCAGTTAGGAATAAAGAATAAAAGGGAAGGTTAACTGCAGTTACAGCATTTTTTCATTATGTACTGTTGTGTCTGGGGTCAGTAATTGAAGGGACAGCCACTGTGGTCTTTTAATTCGTTTTTGGGAAGAAATATATTTTATTTCCATTAGAGACTTTTCAGAACAAGTAACAATGAGGAGAGGTGAGGAAGTTTCCCTTAATGCTGGTGGGGAAATGGGAAGGGTTTAGCTTTCCATTGCTCGGGTAATACCCATGTAAGGTAGCCCGGGTGTTTTCAGGTGTAGAAGCTTCTCGTTCCAGTCCCCGTGTGCTCTCCCCTGCTCTCAGCCGGCAGCTGCAGTGCCCGTGCCCGGTGTGGAGGGGCTGCTGTGCTGGCTCTGCCCAGGCCAGGGCTGTCCCCAGCCCAGCACACACCCGTGGGGATGTCAGGCCTTCCTGGCTCTGCCCTCTCCACATGGTGGGCCCTGCTGAGCTGCAGGAATTGCTGGGATCCTCACCCAGCCCAGCGTGGGGAGGGAAGTCTGGACTGCAGGACCTTCCCCTCTGTTCCTGGCAGACTCCTGTGCTGCTTGGGAAAGGGAGGGAGAGTTTCCAAATTCACATTTATTGCTCTGGCAAAGCTGGCTGGCAGTGTTGGCTGTAATATACAGATCTTGGTTGTTTATTATTCTGTCATGTGAATCATCTTAGAAATAAATGAGAATTAAATTTCCTTGTCTGTGCCTGGCAAACAAGGGAGAATTAGGTGACCCAGTTATGTCCATTTGCAGTGTGTTGGATGCAGCAGGACAAGCTTGAAGCATTGATTCTTTTAACACAGTTTAGTAAGAATGCAATCATTTCTAACACTGCAGCTTTTGAAATGCACAGGTCAGTCTTTGTGAGAAAGGAATGGAAGACTGGCACTGGGGAGTGGATGCACGTTTAGCTGCCAGGGGTAGGCACAGGCAGCCCAAACTTTCCTGTTGGCTCTGCACATCTGCCTCCCCCTTACCTGGAGAGAGCAGTTCCAGATCTGATAGATCACAGCATTCTCTATGGCTTCACCAGCCTTTGGCCTCTGTTCCTGCCCTGCCAGCATCCAGCACAGGATTCCCAGAAATTCAGCTGAGATCCCATCCCTTCTTTGCTGAGGCCAGGATGTATCAGTTGGGTTTTATGTGAAAGCTTCCTGAAGAATGCAAAGCTTGAATGCAATTCATTCTCTAGTGATTGAGAATGTCATTGGTATGGTCAGGGTGGAAATCTTGCTGCTGAAGAACAGCTTGAGTTTAAAAAAACTTTACACATGGAAAGGTTCTTATGTTTAGCAGCTCCAGACAAGCATGCAGTTCTATGAATTTTACCTGAATAAGCAGGCTGGGAGTGAAGGTGTATTGAGTTAAGGATCTTGCTGGGGTTCTGCTGTGGATGTTCTGTAATTCTTTGCTCATTTGTTTTCACAGGACAGTTCCCTCATACATTTTTCCCAGCTCCACTCACTGATCAGGACTGAACACGTGCATTATCTGATCTGTGGTTTCAGGTACGTTGGCACAGAAATCTGGAGTTTTGTTGGCTGGGGATGGGGCAGTGACCACTCATCCACGTGCCAGAAGGATCTGTGGGAATAAACAGGGAAATGCTGCTTAAGGAGCATTTCATAATGAGCAGCATATTAATGTAACTTTCTGGAGAGAACACAGTTGATAAAGATTTTTCACTCCTTCATTTGCAAATGAGGATCATGCTGTCTCCTGGGCATGGACCAGCTCTGTACGTGGGTTTGGAAATTTTCTCATGTAGCATATGCTGAGTAATGTTGTCATCCTAAACTGTGTCTTCTGCAAGCTTTATGTAAGGAGAAAACAGAGATGTTCACATTTCTCATGCTGGCTCTCAGTGCTGGTTTTAGACCTTTATCTTTCTACTTTGATGTCAGGGAGTACATTGATGGTGGCAGGATAATTGTGTGGTGCAGGGAGAGCAAAGTGCTGTTGCTCTGAAAGTTTCACCTCTCTGTACATATTTTTTTGAACCATGTTGGGTGCTTTTTTCCCCCCATGCTGCTTACTAAATTGTGTGAAGCATTCAATGAATGGGAAGGCTTTAGGATTTTTATCCTTCCTGGTAAATAGGTGGCTTTGTGACAAACCTACCTTGGCTGAAGGTTGCTTTAAAGGACCAGGCTTAGATAGGGATTCCCATCACCCCTTTTTAAAGTTTGAAAATTAATAAACAACTAGAAGATAGCTGTGGAAAGCAGTGAACAGTAACCAAACAGGTCTTGTAAAATGTGGTGTGCAGAGGAATGCTGAGGTGGGTGGGGTCTTCCTCGTGGGCATGGGGGCAGCTGTGGCATTTTCTTGGTGCTTGTGGATGGTGCCACCTATTGATGCCCCATCCATTTGGTTTTGGTTTTAAACAATAGTTGTCTTACTGCATTTCAGCTTTTGTTGTCGTGTTTTTTCTTTTCTAGTGCAGCAGCTTCCCTGTTCAAGTGCAATGTTTTATGAAAAGTATTTATAATATTAAGAACTAGTCACAATCTTTCAGACTGACTGGGTATCTTGGTCAATGTTTATTGTTTTATCAGTCTCTGGGTGTGTATAACTTGATGTCTATTGCTCACTATCTTATTTTGTCCATTGCCTTACTATTGGCATCATTTGTTAGCACTCAGTAAATTGCACTGTGGAGTATATACCTAGCAGCATAATCCAATTTACTTACTGGAGTTGACAGTACACAAAATTATGGGATTGTTTAATTCCCCCTTCAGAGAGCAGTTTGCTGGTTGTATAAAAACCCCAACAGTCATCACCTTGCACATGTACAGGCTGCAGATTTCCAAGCAGAACCATCGACAGCAAATCAGCTTCATGCAGCTCTTCCCACTGAAACATGTTCAAGAAGGGCTGGTGATGGATCTTTCTCACTTTTTACTGCTGTTATCTCCTTGCTCAGTAATGTGGGTGGCAAAGCCTGTCCCAGCAGCTGCTGCTGAAGTTTGCATTACTTCTGACTCACTCAGGAGGGCCTATGTGTAATTTTAAATGGTTTCCACACCCAGATTACTTTCCCTTAAAAGTAATAATGAAAATGAAGTGAGAAGAGAGGTTGGTAATGACTGCAGGAAAACATTACTGGGAAAGCAGTGTTTGAACCTGCTGGGATGCAGCCTTCCCCCTGCAAGCCTTGTGCAGTGTGTTCCCTTCATTACTGAGGCTCAGGAAATCACATTTATAGGTTGGTGTAGGACCAGACCCAGTTCTGGGAGTGATTGAAGACTTTTTGGAGCCACTTCTCTGAGGTGTGTGTGGTGCAGGAGTGGCTGGGTCACAGCTCCTGGGAGCATGGAATGGTTTGGCTGGGAAGGGACCTCAGACCCAGCCAGTGCCACCCCTGCCATGGCAGGGACACCTCCCACTGTCCCAGGCTGCTCCAGCCTGGCCTTGGGCACTGCCAGGGATGCAGGGGCAGCCACAGCTGCTCTGGGCACCCTCGGGGGAGAATTTCTTCCCAAAATCCAAGTTAAATCACTCTCAGTAAGTGTGAAGCCATTCCCCCTTGTGCTGTCACTCCAGGCTCCTGTGAACAGCCTCTCTCCATCTTTCTTTTGGGGTCCCTTTGGGGGCACTCAGGGGTTAAATTTCTGCACCACACAGCACTGCTCAGGGCTTGGGTCAGTTTGGGACACTGCTGGAATAGTGTCCTTTGAAGCACCATTATTTTTTACATTTCAGGTTAGGGTTTTTACTATTGACTTAATAAACATGGTTCAAGATGGTTTTTAAGAGCAGCTGAAGAGAATGCCTGAATGTTTTCTTTCTGTCGTGGTAAACACCCTGTTGTGGAACTTAAATTATTACCAGATACTCATATAATAAAGTATAATCATGCTTTGTGCTATAGAATTTGGATAGCACAGTCTGTTTATTCCATAGCATAATTATTTTTATTAAAATAAGAAGCAAAAGCTCAGCTTTTAAATGATACTATTTCCCTGCTCCTCTTAGCTCTGCTTTCTCTCCAAAACGATTTCATAAATTTTAATAACTTTTACAATAATGCAGTGGCCTTTTTATTTGATATATCAAGGAAAAAAGAAGAAGAGGAGGAAGACTTGAGAGTTTAGATTTCACTCAGCTTTTGCTTAGCCATTGCAGGCTTGATGGCTGTGCATTCTGCATCCTGTTTTCATTCTGCTTGTGCTTATTTATGGAAAAAACCCCAAACCACGGACTCTTCTGTCAGGGTGATTCTTTCATCTGGTTCTGAGAATTCCTTTCCTACTCATGCAGTAACATAACCACAGATAATGAGCTGTGGGGATGTGAACATGGGCTCTGTGAATGTTTCAGTTGCACATGTAAGGCCCAGTTTAGCTGCTCACATTTTCAAGGGTTTCTCTGGGGAAAGATGTGATTCCTTATTCTGCCAGGATATTCAGTGATCTGCCCACTGATGAAAAACGGGTATTTTGGAAATTAAACTTTTCCTCTATTTCCTATTAGACCCCATTTCCTATTGTAGTTTGTCTTTTGGTTTTGTGTCTGCAGGAAATCCAGGAGCTGGCAGGAGGGGAATGAACCGAGAGGGCGTCCCCGGGAAGAGTCCGGAGGAGATGTACATTCAGCAGAAAGTGAGGGTCCTGCTCATGCTCAGGAAGATGGGATCAAATGTAAGAGACACTTCATAGCTCATCCCTGTGGCTTTTCAGGCAGCTTTGGACTAACTGGGATAGTGCTCGTTGGGATGGGCAGGTGATGGTCTGGTTTTAATGCTGGATTGTTTTAGTCATCCTGGATTGAGCTGTTATCAGTTAAACACAATGGATTTTTGCTTAAATATTATGAGGCTTGTGATGCCTGGAGCTGCCATATATAGATAAATGATTTCAAGTTTTTCATTGTTGGAAAAAGAGCCAAGTGAAGCAGCTGCTGCAAGGTGACACTGAACCTGCCCATGAGTTCATGGTGTGCCATGCATTCGCTGCTGTGCCCTGGCTGTGGTCGAGGTGCACACGAGGGGTGATGGGGAGTGAGCAGAGGCTGCTCAGGTGCCTGTCCCTGGTGCCTGCAGTGTGTGCTGCTGGTTCTGCTGGAGCTGAGGCATCACCTGTGTGCCCCCTGTGCCCCCAGCTGACGGCCAGCGAGGAGGAATTCCTGCGCACGTACGCGGGGGTGGTGAACAGCCAGCTGAGCCAGCTGCCCCAGCACTCCATCGACCAGGGTGAGTACTGCCCCTGTGCATCTCTGTGCATCCCTGGGCCCTCCCTGTGCATCTCTGTGCATCTCTGGGCCCTCCCTGTGCATCCCTGGGCCCTCCCTGTGCATCCCTGTGCATCCCTGGGCCCTCCCTGTGCATCCCTGTGCATCCCCATACCCTCCCTGTGCCCTCCCTGTGCCCTCCCTGTGCCCTCCCTGTGCCCTCCTGTGCCCCCTGTGCCCTCCTGTGCCCTGGCCCTGCCTCCCCTCAGAAAACACCACCTGTAGCCTCCAGGACTTCCAGGATAGTGTGCCACCTGCTGAAACCCATCCTGTAGCCCAGGATATTCCAGTTTATTCCAGTTTTGTGAATTCTTTGCAGAAGCCTTGGTAAAGGATTGTGTGGAGCTGCTCTGAGTCCCCTGATCTCTTCTGAACCTGAATGTTTCTTACTGGATTCCTGTCCCTCCCCTGCACAGCCCTCGTGTCAGACCAAGCTTAGAAAGTTCAGTTTGGTGTTGCAGGAACGTTGTAAGGCTCATGCCAGAAAGAACTGAGCAGAAATTTGGTCTAGATCTGAGACATGTGGAAATCCATTACAAACACAACCTGCACAGACTTGCTGCTGTGCTCATTCCTTGCATAGCTGGGGGCTGATGGAGGTGGATGTACTTGAAGAATTCTGAGCCAAAATACACAACTTTTCTGCCAGTCTAAAGTGGGAATTTTCTTGTTTCTTGTCAAAAACTGAGGTAGACACATTCAGTTAAGAGAGACTTAGTTGCAGTTGGAATTTTTCAGCATTATCCTTAAAAGGTACATTTTTCACAGTGAAATCCATGCTGAATTACCTGCACTTTGCCAAAGAAAAGGTGATAAAATCAGAAGTCCAGCCAGAGGACACAGACACTTCTGCAGTGGTGCTGAAGCTGTAGTGTGCTCTGCAGACAGAACAAATTATAATTTATTGCTCAGCACTTCAGTTTTCTTAGAAATCTCTCCAGGTTTCTAGCAGTCAGTAATTACAATGCTCCTTGCTTGCTGCTGCCTGTGCCCTCTGCTGTGTCCTGAGTGAAGCAGGAATTCCTGGGAGCTGGGAATGCCGTGACATCTGTGCCACCCTGAGGGAGATCCCATCTCCACTAGATGGCATCGCCTGGTGCTGGAAACCCTGCGAGTCCACACGCTCCCTGTTCTGTGCTCCAAGATTGCTTAAAGGAATTTTCTTCCCTACTTCTCTGTTTTCATTGAGTCTCCTCTGGAGGATTTTTTTTTTCTCCTTTATGCAGCTTGTCTTACACAACAACAAAAAGGTGTTATTTAGGGAGTAACCTTAACCAGTTTAGCACTGCAGTGCATTTCAGAGTCTTTTGTTCCATAGTAGGACAGGTTGCTCTCAGCCTGACTTGTCTCTGATGAATCTTTAGAGCCATTTTCCTCCAGCAGGCACAAAAGACACAAAAACTTCACATCCCCATTTTGTTCCAAAAACCAGAATGACTTTGTTGGCCTGAGCACTGAGAGCTTTGTTGTGGACCTGCAGGTTTTTGTGTCCCTTGAGGTGCTGCAGTGTGACTCCAGTTCCAGGAAAGTTGTTTTGGTTTGTTGGGGCTGTCCTGACAAGAGTGGATGGTAGAATTCTGCACAATTCACAGTCTCTGTTGCATTTTTTTGTGTTTATTTCTGTGTGTGCATGGTCTGTGTCTGAGGCTGGTGGCTGCAGTGACCTGGGCAGGGTTCTGGGCTGGGATTTCTGGGCAGGGTCTGTGGCTGCTGTGGGAGCCCCTTGGTTTGGCCACAGGGAGTCACTGCAGGCTCTGTGGCCACCGTGTCAGGATGTGGCTCTGAGGGAAGGGAGGAGTTCTTACTGTCCCTCTGAGCCCAGGCTGGTGCCACCAACCCTCCAGGAGCCACTGTTGATACCAAGATCTCTGACAGCTCAGCTTCCTCCGTGAGACTCTGTTTGTAGTCTGAGGATCCAGCAATGGAAGCTAATTTGGATCAAGAAACCTCTTAGGATATCTCTGTAATTTTAATCAAGCCTGAAGGCTAAGTCTCCCCTTCAGTTTATGCTTATTTTTATTGGAACAGGAGATAAGGTAATTGAGTCTAATATTAATGTCATGCTCGCATTTTTTATAATTATTTTACTTTTCAATCATTGTTAGCACGTATATGAAAGTGCAAAATCCAGGGTGTTTTTCTTTGCTCCAGGAGCTCTTTAGCTGACATCTGTGGAGTGTTTGTTGTTTGTTTTTATGGCTCCAGGAATAACTGAGGAACCCTGAGGCATCTCAGTTCAAGCAGTGTGTGTGCTGGAGAGGGGCTGTAATCCTGAGCTGTTTTGGGATATTCACACATTGGTCCTGCCTGCATTGCAGCAAGAGCTAACACAGCTCACACTCGATGAAATCCAGCCTTTCTCACATATTTCTGAGTACAAGCAAAATGCCTCTCAGGAAATCGTGTGCACAGGAGCCTCTCCTGGCCCCTATTCCCTGTTGCCCAGCTCCTTGCATTTCCAGAGGCTGAGCTGCCCTGGCAGGGCTGGGACTGGGAGCAGTGCAGGGAGGAAGCACGAGATGGGAATTGAGCAGAGACCTTGGTGGTGGCAGCTCTGGTGTTCCTATAGCAACAGCAGGGTCGTGCTGGCTCCTGCAGGAAGCTGCTCCCGTGGGGAGGCCAAGGCTGAGCTGCACACACGAGCCTGCCTGGCTGAGCCCTCCGGGTCCTGGGGCACCAGAAGCACCCCAGGCTGCTGGGGGGCTCCAGGGCTCCCTGCCCAGGGCTTGGCAGATGGAGAATGGAGATCCAGCTCTGCTCAGTGCACCTTCATTCTGTTGAACACAAGGCTTGTTTGAATGTGCTGCTGCTCTCAGCAGTGCATGGTGTATTTTTAGAATGCCAGACTAGGATGCTAATCCTGGGAATTGCAGGGAAGAGTTAATGTTTAGAAGATTGTTGCTGGAAGGTGGTTGAAGAAATGTATGTATGCAAAGATCTTGTGTGAAGTGAGGAATTTCTTTTTTTAAATTTGGCAGCCTTTAGAAATTCCCAACAGGCTAAACCTTCTGATCTCTAAATGCTTTTGGGGTTTAATTAATTCTGCAGGTGACTGCAAGCAAATCAGATGTACATATCTATTCATCACTCCAAGAGCACTTGGAAAGAGCAGCTGGTGGAGGTGTCAGCACCTTCCCTTGTGCCAAGGTGGTGTGGCTTTAATGCAGCTGTACCTGCTGGGTTCATTGTCTGTAGCCAGGTCCTTGCTGGGCAGCTCTGGCTTCAGCCCCCCTGGGGAAGATTTCTGCCATGGATGTGAGCTGGGGACACTGAGCTCAGGGCACCTCTGCAGCCTTCCCTGGCCTGCAGTAAAGTCATTCCACCTTCAGCCCATCTTGGCTTGCTAAGACTGAAGAACAAGTGCTGTAAAAGAACTCTAAACTCAGCAAACAACTGCAATTGGAACATAATTTCAGTGGGATTTTTTTGGAAGTTAGTGGAGTAAGATTGTCACTATTACTTCCTAAGATAGGACATAAGCCCACCTGTTAGTTATTGTTCATTTCTGGGAAGAATGAGGGTGAGAAAGCATAAGGCAGAAGCAGTGAGAGAATTATCTGAATGTCTAAAGATTGTGACAATTAATGCTTTGCTCATAAAAGACAGGGAATATTTCACTGGGTATGTTGTAAGTCTCTATTTCAGGGTAGAAATTTGTGCCCAGAAAAGAGGCAGCTGTGGAGAAAGCAGCTGAATGTATAGATGCAGGTCAGGTAAAAGTGTGCCTTTGTCATTGTTCTATACATTAATTGCTGGAAGTGCAGAGCTCAGTGCAGGATGTGCTCAAAGCAGACTTGGTTCACCATCCCATTGTCTCAGTCACAGGCTCTTGGCCATGTGCAGCTTAACTTTATAACCTGGGCTCTGCTTTTTGCATTATTTTACTTGATGACAAGAAAACATCCGTTGTGGGAGCCAAGTGGGCTGCAGGAGCAGCTCTGGCACTCGAGTCCCTGCTTTCCCTTCAGCACTCAGGAGCTCTGCTCTGTTCTCTGGCAGTGGCTGTGTCTGTCCAGCAGCACTGCAGAATTGCTTCACGAGCACCTCGTTAGCTCTGGGTGCTTTGGGTCCTAGGACAGGGCTGGAACAAAACCTGCTTTTGTCTCAGAAACGTGGATGACCTTTTTGTGGACCAATGTCAGCCAGGTTCTTTTGTGGGGGGACACCTGCAGATGTGGCCTTGGGGCAGGCAGGAGCACAGAGCTGTGGGCTTATCTGGGATGGATCCTCCTCTGCTGCCTGGGATTGCAAGGAAACCTGTGAGAATTTTGTTCCCATTTAGACACTGGAAAGGGGAGACCCAGGGAAAACAATCAGATGTGTTCAGGAGTGCAGCTCACCCTGTGCTGGGTGATGTCTGTGCTTACCATGGGACTCCAGCTGCTCCTGCCCCTTCAGGGATGTGAGGAACCCTCAGTGCCAGAGGTGCAGCTGCACTTTTGGGGATGTGAGGAACCCTCAGTGCCAGAGGTGCAGCTGCACTTTTGGGGATGTGTGGAACCCTCAGTGCCAGAGGTGCAGCTGCACTTTTGGGGATGTGAGGAACCCTCAGTGCCAGAGGTGCAGCTGCCTTTGCCTCCTGCAGCGTGGGGCTCTCCCTCCCCAGCACTGAAGGGTTTGTCACAGCCCTGCAAGTGAAACCTTTGTTTTTCTTTAGGGGCTGGTAGTTCTTGTGTGTTTTAAGATCAACAAGGCAGCTTGTTAATTCTGAGCTGGATCCTGGTGCTATATATCATTTATGTTTTGATCAAGGAAGAAACAGTTTGTGCAGGAGATGAAAAGGGAGATGACTGCAGGGCTTCTGAATGCTGGCAAGAGGGTGCATCAGAGCAGTTTTTGATGTAGTTTTATATAAGATAAGGGCCCTACATATGAAAAACAAACTACTACTGCTGGGTCCTAATATTTCCTTCTTTGAGTACATATAAAATTGTGAAGTGTATAAAAGTAAGTACAGTTGCATTTCCTGAGTATTGACTTAGCTTTTAAGGACATTAGCAAGGGGATTTTACAACCATTTTTGACCACTTTTCCTGCTATTACAACTGAAGAGCAGATTAGATAACTGAGAAATGGAATTCATAAAATGAGAACAGATGAGGCATTTTTATTAGTCCTCTTCTACTTGTGTGCAGGTGTATAGGCAGAAGTTGCTTGGGGCACAAAACTGAGATTTGCTTCTTGATATGCTTCAGGTAAAAGACTGGAGGAATTTTACATGTGATGCTCCAACTGAGCTGAATTTGAACTTTGCAAGGCCCTGGAGGAGGATTCTGTGGGGCTGAGCAGTGACCTGAGCAGTGGTGGTGGTTTTGGCATCCCCTAGTTTGTCATTTGTTTCCTGTTGGATGTATGGATGTGTAAATGACATTTTGGCTGCCTCATCTCTCCCCTGCTCTTTGAAGGAAGTAATTATGGCACAGTTCTCCTGTACCCATTGTTGTTGCAGGTGCTGAGGATGTTGTGATGGCATTTTCCAGATCAGAGACAGAAGACAGAAGACAGTAACTGCAGGACACCTGAACAAGACAGAACTGGAGAGGACAGTGAGATTCCTGAAGATAGAGGAGGATGGCTGAGCATTAATAAGTTCCTCTGCCCACCCTGATTGTTCCTTGGTGTTCCTTCTCCTTTGTAATGTTGTTTCCCTTTGCCCAACCCTCAGAATGCATCTCACAGCCATCTCTTCCTGTCACATTTTGCAACTCGGCCGGGCTGTGTTCATTGAGGACAAACCTAAGGCTGTGGTTTTGGTTGGTTCAAAGGGACAGGCTGTGGTTGGATAAAGGAAGGCAATTTTTCAAACTTGACCAATGGAAATCTTTTATCTCACATTTTATTTTATATTTTAAACAAAGTCTCTTGACATCTTACTTCTAAAGAAGCTTTTCATGCTGTGGTGCTTATTTAGGTCAAACTTGTGAATTTGAAGAGGGTTTGATTTGGCTGCATAGAACTGGAAGCAACTTGTGATTGGGTGACAATGCAAAAGCTTTCCCTTCAGTTGGCTTGCAGGTATTTTGCTGACTCCAACATTTTCATTGCAGGAAGCTGATATTTTGGTGCATTGTTTATTTCTTTATACTTATTGACTTGGGGGGAAAAGACAGATGTGCTTTGCAATATTTATTACATCTGCACACATATAAACGCTTGCTTTTGGGGGGTTGTTTTGGTTTTCTGATTGGCTTTGAAGTCATGGTTTGATTTCCTTTTGGCTGCAGTGTTTCTGATGCAATCAGTTTTTCCATACTCAGCTGCTCTCTGGCCTCGAGCTCTTTTGGGAGCATGTGTCAAAGCAGATTTGGTTCATGCACCTGGCCAGGCTGGGGGTGCCCAGCCCTGGTGGGCACGGGGGCTGTGCCCCAGCCTGGCACCCCTGGCTGCCACAGAGGAGCTGGAGATGTTCTGCAGGAATTGCAAGAGTGAGAGCTAAGGTTGTGACGTGAATTTGCCAAATTTGTATAGAGAATATGTGAACTTCTTTAAAATACTAGAGTCCCACTTTAACCCTTTGATTGCTGCACAGGACTAGCTCTCACATTAGGAACAATTAACGATCATTAACTTAAATCCAGCTTGAACTGGGCTGTAATAAACTGAAGTTTCTAGTCACTTGAACAGTTGTACATGGTTTCCCTCCTTGCAGCTGTGGTGATAGGGACATTCTCTGATCCTGGGATCACAGCTTGTTCTTGGGCACTGTTGAGGAGGCAGCAGTGCTGCTCTGGGCTGCCCAGCACTGAGTGTACAGGTGACACTCTCAGTTTGCTCTCTGTAGCTGCAGGGCCTTAAAACACACACACAGACCTTCCCAGACTGAGGGCCCTGCAGTGGAATCCTGAGGTGCACTGACTGTTCAGGAGTCTGCACAGAGTCTCCAGCACTGCTGCCTAAAACCAAGCACTTCATTTTCTCTCATGTGTGCAGGTGGTTTTTACAAAACTTCTGGATTTTGCTGTGGGTTGCACTGACTTCGAGATGTTTCAGAATCTATTAAAGCTGAACTCAATTTACCTGTTCCTGGTTCTTTTCCTATGGTTGTTAATTATTTACAGTAACAATTCTAGAATCTAACTGTGAGAACATGACCATTTTCATGGCCAGAAATTCTGCTGACAGGATGCTGTTGTGGTCTCAAAATGGGGGAAGAGCTGGAGAGAAACCATGGACTGTCTGCAAAAGGAAGAATGGACCTGTGAGCACAAGGAAGAAATTATCTTGAGCAAATAAATACTGTGTAATGAGAGCAATTGTACATCTATTTATTAAAACACTCCTTTGGGTTCAGTTGCAGCTTTGTAAAGTTCTATGTGAAAGTAAATCTTTTACCCCTTTTTGTTGGGGTCAGATAAGAAATTTCTTTATTAAAATAAACCAAGAATGAGCCCAAAGGATTCTCTAGGGTTTGACTTGGTTGCCTAAGAAGCAGTTGAATGTGAATTTGGTGCAGAGGGGGCAGCCCTTACATTGAGAACTGGGGGGGTCTGTGGTGGGATCTGCTCTGGTGGCCTCCCAGTTCACACTCACCTCCCTGCCTATCCATGGCTAAAGCTCTTCAGGAAGAAAAGTGAACTGTTTGTGGTTTCATCTTTTCACTAAAAATGTAACTGGGGAGGGGGAAAATACAGTTTTTAATAGCTACTCTTGTTTCATATTGATTTATTACCCTGCTCAACTGCCAAATGAAAAACACTTGGCTTCACCCTTGAGAAAGACAGGACAGCAGCATGGTGGACTTGTTTCTTGTTTGTACAAATTTCTCTGGCTTTGCTGTTGTGTTTTTGCCTTCTCAAGTAAAGCATTACTAATAAAACCAGGAAATCAAATGTTTTAGAGGCCAGAGTTGAGCACAGATCTAATTTAAAATCGGTTTGTAACTAGAAAAGGCTTTGTAGTCCAATTATGAAGCAGACAGTGCTCAGGGCATGCAGAAAGGAGTGTAAAAGCTTCAGAGGCATCTTCCAAGAAAAGCACGTGCTCTTTGGGTGGTCTTTTGGGGAGAAATGTTCCTTTGGAGATTCAGAATGTGCTGTTGTACTGTGGCTGCCAAGCTGCTCAGCCCTCTCATAACACACCGTGTTTAGAGCTTGGGGAGAAGATTCAGAGCTGAGTCCCACCCTCCTCTCCCCAGGTGGGCAGCAGGTGCTGCAGTTGTTGGAAGCTCATTGTGTCTGAGCATGGCCTGTTGTAAATGAAAATGGGGCTCCAGCATTCACACCTTGAGTTTGATTCTCCCAGGTCCTAAAATAAACCCTGGAGTAACAGAGCATGTGAGCTGGAGGCACAGCAACACTTGGGAAGGAGATACTGCCTGTGAAAGAAGCTTGGATCACAAATTAAATTTTAAAAACTCTTGAGATTTTTTGTTCCTATTCCTACCCAAGGTAAGCAGTTACTGGAAGTTGTATCCTCCATGGCCTGTGTGAGAATTTCTAATGCTTGACCATTAAATCTGTTTCAGTTCCACAAAGTCTATTTTCTAATTCACCAGCAGCCTGAATAGTTCTGTTAAAGGCTGAAGATTTAATGGCCCATGAAGTAGAAATACCCATCACCTATAGCAGAGATTGTCCAAATGAGACATTGGGATCAGATGTGGGATCAATTCCTATGGCTGTTGAGAATCCCTTACAAGAATAGAGCAGTGTCATGTCTGAAGTTACCAGTGTTCTGCACTGCAAAATGGAAAAATAAAGGCTAGCAGTTAAAAGCTTTGTATTAAATGTATAAAAGATGTTAGAAATTATTTTATGAAATACAGAGTGCCCTGGCAGGGAGAAGAATACATAATTTGGATTTATTTAAGATCAGTTCTTCAGCTTTCTTTTTGGTCTCTTGCCTCCTCAAGAACTGTGGCAGAGCTGACAGCAAAAAAGGCTGCAGGGCATGGGACCAGCAGAAAGCAGGAGTGCAGGAAGAGCAGTTTCTGAAGTTTAAGGGATCTTGAGTTCTATTCAGTCTGCACAGAAGGAAGTCCTTAGTGAGTAGCATCTTTTCCTCACTGTTGCCATCAGAAAGAAAGTGTTCCAAGGCTTGGAGGTTAATGAAGGGTGTTTAGGAAGCTCCATGGAAGCTGCAGAATAATTATTTGGGGTGCAGGAGTGGCAGGAGCAGTGAAGTGCTGCAGAGTTGCTGCCTTGGTGGGATATTGACTGATTCTGATTTTTAAGGCTCTGACAGATGTGGTAAATGCAGCCAGGGCAGCAGCCCCTCCCCTGGGATGGACCCACTTGTTACTCACAGTCAGAGGTGTGTGCTGTGGGCAGGGCAGCAGCCACAGGAAGTAACATCTGTTTTTTCAGTTTCTTTGAGGTGAAATGGTTTTTTTTTTTCATTCTTAAAAGATCCTGACAGTGAGGCCTGGATGAATTATTTCAGTAGAGTAGGGTGGTGTGAATGGCCTCACACAAAACTAGCTTGAAGGAGTGTGACAATGTCAAATTTCAGTAATCAGGAGCAGGCACAGCACCAATGAGGGATTGGTGGACAGAGTTCTCTTGCAGCCTCGGGTGATGAGTGGTTGGCATCCTGCACAGTCTGTGCCCTGTGTGGCAGGAACAGGTCCCTGGATTGCTGGGGAGGTTCTTGCAGATCTGCCTTAGACTCTCTGTATTTACAGACACTTGGCACTGCAGCTTCCCTGAAACCTCCTGTTACTGATGTTTTTCAGACTTTTACAAATATCAAAGTGCTGTATGACAGGAGAACCATTGCTGTTATTTACCAGGGTAGGAGCTTGGATCTGTCTCCTGCCAGACTGAGGTGGGTTCCCATCCAGAGACAGAAATCATCTACTGCCTTCTGAGCTCTGCTTTCATTTGCTCTGCAGCTGATTTGCCCTAAGCAGGATTCCTGCTGTATGTTGTAAACAACCTGGCTGGTTTCCTTTGTAGCAGAAGAACTTCAATTTGGGGATTGTTTATTTTGGAAAAGAGAAAAAAAAATTTTGAAGCTTTATAACCTGGCCTGCTCACGAGCTGCCTCGTGTATCAGCATGAAATGGTTCTTTGCACAGAGCTTTTTACTGCCTTGACATTTTCCAGGTTGACTCTCCTTGGTACTAAATGGTGCTCTGTGGCCAGAGGCATGTGAAACTCAGAAAATAAACTTTCAGCCCGTGTTCTACAACTGTAATAGTGAGTCCAACCCAGATGTGGACTGATGCCTCTGTACTTTAGTTTTTCACAATCTGCAGTTCCTGCTGCTCTCTTGTGATGCAGTTACAAGTGCAGCAGCCCCCCAGGGGAGGAGAGGATCCTGCCTGTCCCATGAAAGGAGTGCAGGGAGTAACTCCATGGAGGGGCACAGGAGCTCGTGCTGCTGCTGCCTGTGCACTGGGATCCCCGTTCAGCTTCACTGTGAGCTCCCAGTCAGAGGGCACGGTGCCCATTGCCTTGGACGTGATTGGAGTGGATGGGGGGGCTGAGCATTGGCCTTCAGCCTTTTGGGCTGTACCTTGAGTGGCTGCTGCTGTGTGCAGGCAGGGCCAGGCTGTGCTGCTGCCATGGAGGGAGGGAGGGAGGGAGTGAGTGAGTGAGTGAGTGAGTGAGTGAGTGAGTGAGAGTGATGCTGCCATGGCTGCAGTGGGTGCTGCCATCCCTGCAGTGGGTGCTGCCATGGCTGCAGTGGGTGCTGCCATGGCTGCAGTGGGTGCTGCCATCCCTGCAGTGGGTGCTGCCATGGCTGCAGTGGGTGCTGCCGTCCCTGCAGTGGGTGCTGCCATCCCTGCAATGGGTGCTGCCATCCCTGCAGTGGGTGCTGCTGCCTGAGCACACTGAGGCACGGCCCTGCCTCCTGCCAGAACAGCTCACAGCATGGTCTCTACTCAGTGATGGTTTTTTTATTCTGCTAAATCTCTGGGGTATGTGAGGAGGGAAATAGGGACAGGTCAGGAAGGGATGAGTTCCTGTAGGTGGAGGCACAGGAGGAGAATTCTGCCTCACTGTTGTGTTCTTATAAGCTTCTTTGAGCCTACAGAAGGATGATAATTAAACTAGACAATCTTAAGCTTTTGCCTTGCCTTGCCAGCAGCACCAGACTTTGGTCTCCCTGTAAAAGAAGCTGTGCCTTGTGCTGCTTCTGTACATGCTTAGCTGCTCTCACACCATCTGGGTGTACAGCCTTGCCTTTGTTTGAGTCTGACCTTGACCTTGAGGTCACAGGCTTCTGAAATTATATGGGACATGTGGACTTAGCCTGGCTCTTGCAGCTACATGATCATTTTTACCAGATTTTTTCTTCTCTTTAAATGTAGCAAAGTTTAGATGTCAGAGGATTGGAGCAGTGCAAGGAACTAAATTAAATCTTTTCGTTGTCAAAAGGAGGAGACTTGGATAACTGAGAAGTGCTTAGATAAACCACAATAACAGTGAGGAAAGGCTCACTGAGGGTTTTGCAGAGGCCAGAACCAGCAGAGCTCAGAGTGTAGCTGCTCTAGCCTGGAACCACTGTGTATGCACACTGCCAGCTCATATCCTTCTGCAGGGAAGGTCCTTGGGGGTTTAAACAGAGAATTTGTCAGGAACAGCACCTTGACTTAAGTACTGGTGAGATGGATCACACAGAAAGAGATCTTTGATAGTCAGATCCTACACCTGGGCATGCTTAAAGCTGGAAGTCAGCACCTCCAATTCTGCCCTGACAGAAGGAATGTTAAATTCAGCTGTGTCAGGCTGCTGCAGAGCAAAGACTCAAAAATACTTTTGAAACACAAGTACTATTGAATATCACTGAGGGATCATAACATTCTATGTGCAGGATTGGGTTGTGGCTGAGTTGAGCCTCAGTCACAATTAAATTGATTCTGTAATTCTAAAACGACACTTTCTGACATCTTTGCAGGAGAGACCACACTGCTTTTGTGATGTGTTTGAGTGTGTTCTGTCACCTGGGTAGAAAGAAGAGGTCGTGTGTGTTGTTTTTTTAGTCTCCTGTCTTGACAAGAGCGCAGAGAGTTGGTTTCTGTCTGGACCTGAATGAGTCTTTGTGAAGGTTGTTAGCACCATTCTTGCTCAGAGCTACTAAAAAGAGAGGGGGAGCAGTAAGGGAAGAAAGAGAGAGATTAAAGGGGAAAACCCAGTAGGTTATAAATGCATTTTCCTCTGTGCTGGAGGTTAAATAATACTTTATGTGTGTGACAGATACTGTGATTAAGGAGCTGTTAGGCAGAATGAGAGCTGGGCAGCAAAGGGAGCAGAGATGCTTGAGGGAAAAGGGTACTAAGATGCTCTAGTGCTGAATTCTCTT